AAGCGGGAGGAGTTGTCGTTCCTCACGGTCTTGGCGTTGCCAAAGGCCTCCAGCAGCGGGTTGGCACTGATGATCTGATCTTCCAGTGTCCCCTGCAGAGAAGTGACAAGATACAGAAATGCGAGAAAGGATGGCTTGCGACCTAACTCCATTTGCACCTCCATTACCCTTCCCCCTTGTTAGTTTTCTTTAACTTTGGGGTACGGCCTTCTAAGTAAGAAGAAAGGAAACGCAGGGGTCAGTGACATGGTCTCGATTTCTATATTATCAAGCTCTCATTTTGTCTTAATAAATGGTTGTGAGAACTATTGCCCGTGGAGCCTGACACTACATTGCCTCCTTATCAGAAGCCCTGACCAGTTCGGTTCTGAATTCTAGCATCATATACAATGGGCTTCTACGGTTCTGAAGTGTTATGGTCCATTTTTTTTAAAAAAGGATGCTTTCCTCTGCCCTCCACTGAATGCCAGCCCCACCTGCATTTTGCCGGAAGTAGCTTCCTCCTTCTTCTTCTCCCCAGTGACTGCAATTGTTGCGAAGTACTGGATGACCCGCTTGGTGTTCACCGTCTTCCCTGCCCCGGATTCTCCGCTGCCCAGACAGGAGGGAAGACAAGGATCTAAAGCAGTGATAACTATCAGGGGTCAAAACCCAACAGAAAACAAGACACGAAGTCTACATACGTGATCAAGATGGACTGGTTTTCACGATCTGTGAACGAGAAACCAAATATCATGGTTGATCAGATAGACGTAACCCATTGCTCAAAACCGTTTGTGTGAAGCATGGAATTGAAAGATACTTTTTCGCCAAACATTTGAAAGCTTCCGATCCATTTGTGCTCTCCTTTTCACAACTTTCTTTTTACAGTAAGCCGCCCACTGAATCCTGGGGGTATCCTCCTGTTATCTGGTATAGGATGTGATGCAGTATTTAACCATACGATCCTTGAGAAGAGTCTGTCAGTGTCAGACGAATGGCAGTTTCATGTTCGTTCATTTACCTACTTGATACTTCAAAATCCTGTCAAGCTCTAATTTCCAATTCCATACTTCTTAGAGCTGTCAAAGCTTGTTTTAGGTATATCAGATGTTGATATTGTAGGTATGATTAACATGCATAATCAATGCATAGATTTGGAGTTGAAATAATTATGAATTGATTTGGATGCTTGCAGCAATGTAAGTAATCATCTCTATATTTCTGGAGGTGGTGGCTTTTATTCTGAATATACATATTTCTCTCATTCTGATACTACTATATTGTCCTGGTTGGGCTGAACATTTTATTCTAAAAATGCTTACAGTCTCTTTTCTTTGTAATCAGGATGCATTTTACAAATGATTATAAGAATGGTAATGATGGAGTCCCTCACCGGTCAGCATGAACTGATAGGCGTTGTCGGAGATGGAGAAGATGTGGGGCGGGGCCTCCTGGCGCTTTTTGCCTCGGTAGGCGGCCACCACCTCGGGGTTATACACCGGCAGCCACTTGTAGGGGTTGACGGTGACACAGAAGAGGCCCGAGTAGGTCTGGGGAGAAGAAGACAAGATCACTCAATAAGCAGTGGAGTCATGAAGTCGTCTTGGAAACACTGCTCTAGGAGAAGAGAGGGAACTGAGACCCCTGACATCTTTCACGGACTTAAGAAAGCTGTTTGAATGTCTTGTTTAAACAGTGACCAATGTTTAAGGCTATCAACATAAGCCAACTTTTATGAATTCATGGGGAAGTTCTCTAAAGGACCGATTACATTTTTAAAATTAACTTTAAAAAATAAAAACAAATGGCTTCAATGATTTCTTCCTTCCTTCAACACCCCTCACTGCACGAAATGCTTCTGTCTCCCCACTCCTGGAGTACTCAGTACTTGGCTTCTCACATGGACCTCTTCAAGTACATTAGAACTGACACTGCTAAGCTAAGGATTGGCTTTAAGATAAGATCGCAATAGAAGAAAAAGCTGAAAAAATTGTCCTGAATCTGTTTACTAACATAGCTCATGGTGTTAGTAAAAACTAATAAAATTAATATTGGGAAGGTGGGGTGTGTGTGGGGGGAGTGGGGTCCCTCACGTAGATCATCCAGGCTGCGTAGCGCTCTTTGAGGTTGTACAGCACGGCGGGCTCATGCAGGTGGGTCATCATGGCCATGTCCTCGATCTTGTCGTACTTGGGGGGGTTCATGGAGAAGACTTGGTCGTCCTTAACTGTGACGCTCTAATAAGAATGGAAGGTGACAGTAGGTTTCTACTAAATAGCAGTAAAGGACCAATTATGCCCCCCTCCTTTTTTTTTTTTTTAACTTACAGTACCACCTTCAGTCTTGGCTGTCACCTTCCCGCCTTCCCTGCTTTGCACCACGGCTTTCACATAGGACTCCTTAGCATCCACCACAAAGACAGAGGACTTGGCGTCGAAAGGCTTATTCTGGGCCTCGATCCGCTCTTTCTCCGACTTCCGGAGGAAAGGGGCAGCCTCCCCAAAAACCGCCATCTCCGCGTCGGAGCTCATGGCTGCGGGTTACTGATGGCCACACTGCACCAGGTGTACCTAGGGGCATGGAACAGAGTCCAGAGATGCTCATTCTGCCGTGTTTATTTCCTCACCAACGCTTGTAGGGCTTTTGCCTGGGACCCCATCGAGGGGCCAAGAGAGCAGAACCTTGATTTGAAAGACCCCGGTTTAGTAACCAATATTTTGGTAAGATTCTAAGTCTTTATCTCGTCGATATTATAGGCCTTAGTTGAGGAATGTGGAGGCTATATTTCAATCAGCAACATTTGGAATGCCCCAAATGTTTTCAGAATCTTTACTTCTTCTACTTGTTTTTGTTTTCTCCCTTGATGCCACCTTATTCATTCATTTGTTTTTATTTATTCATTGTATGCAAATTGCTTCAATTACTTTGCCATCTAAATTCATCTATTTTTTCAAAATGCAAAATTCATAGACAACTTTCCTCCCACCCTCCATTATGTATGTCTATTTATTAATAGTGGATTCACAGAGACGCACATCAGTTCAAAAGACCTAACAAGCATGATTGAACTTCTGATTCACGCGTATGAAGTATCTACTGCCATCAGTTTGATTCGTGCTCATCCTGACCCAGTACGATCGGGTTTTCAAGGTTGTGGATCCTTACAGAAGCAGACAGCCTCAGGAGGAGCCGGGGGCCTGGGTTGCTGACTCTCCCATTAGCAGCCCAATTTGTCACCAACTACAACAAGAGATGATTTTGTCCACGTAAAAACTAAATCTCTCTCCTCTGAAGTGGTGTGAAAGTCAGACATTTATCCAAACCAACTCCTCCAAAAAAAACTTTCCCCAAGTTTTTAGAGAAAAACAATCTCAGCTGTTAATAAAATTTCATAGCACTTACATACTTTTTGTCAAATTTCTTCCTGTTCTTAACTGGATTTCAGTTGTTTCATCTGATTCTTATTGATTGAGGTTTCTATTTATACCTCTCTCCATCTCTCACTCTCTTTCCTTTCCTGTCTTAAAAAATACCAGCCTTAGAAATATCTCCTCTGAAATGGATTACGAGTATAAAGTTTCACAGCAAAATGAACTTAAATTTTTCTTCCACTGAAAGATTCATTTTAAGAAGATAAGTCCGGTTGCCTGATGGCCAGGAGTAGATGAGTGGCCAATGTAACCCACAGGGATCTCTGTGGGGCAGAAAAGGGATGGCTTCCAGACAGCAGCATCTTGGTGCAAACTTTTGTAGGTTTTCTCGAAAAAGTCTTGGTATTTGGCTGTCTGTGTTAAACTTTCTCTTGATTTAGAATGTTTGATGTGGGCTTTGATACACACGACACACACGATGGCTCTGTGTAGCCCTGGTGGCTCGGTGGTTAAGCAGCTCGACTTCTAAGAGAAATGTCAGTGAGTCAAACCCACTGACATAAAGAGCTGAGCCCTGGAAACACTGCAGGGCCCTTCTACCCTAGGATGGGGTCACAATGACCTGGAATTCATGCGATGACAATGGGTTTATACTACCTTCAGTTTGCCTATAGAAAAATGTCATTATGATGAAAGTGGACGTTGGGACTTTTTAGGCAACAGAGACTGGAACATCTTGATTTTTGAAAGGAAAAATGCTCCTCTTGTTGTAGTTCTGTTGGGTTTTTACTAAACCATTTCAAATGAGCACTGACACACTACATGTAGAGATTACTGGAAGACAGTGTATTCATGACAAACAAAAAGGGTACAACTCCTCTTATTTCTTGGTCCAATAGTTCCTAATTTTTGGATTATAGCGCCCGCAAGGAGTCCGAGTGACGTCATAAGGGTCCTTGGATCCACATGTAAAGTTATAACTGCCTCAACTTCGAACCCACAACGTTCTCCCCGAAACAATAGGTTTTCTGCTCTCTTCCAAACGACTAAAGACGCTATGGAAACCCCTCTGGAGCACAATTCTGCTGTAACACAGAAGGCTCACTATGAGTCAGATTCAACTTGATGGCCACTGGCTCTGGTTTATCAGTTAAGTTATCCACGGTAAATGATGGCTATGTTTATAGTAGAGTTTCCTTATTGTGGATGGAAGTGCAGGTCCTCAGACGAGGAATTGGAGAGAGGGCCTTTAAAAATTGGAAACCACCGACTTAGACCATAGATGGCAAGAGCTAGAAAGACTTTTGCAATTACCCAGAGAACAGCCTCCTCTCTGCTGATGAGAAAACGAAGCCCCAGAAAGAGGAAGGGTTAGTCAGTGTCACAGAAATGGCTAAGCGGCACTGCTGGGACAGGAGCCCACCCAGGTCCAGTGCTAATTCCACTGCAGCACACTGTGTTTCAAGATACGTAAAAGCAGACGGGGTTGACCCAGGTAACTAGAGGCAGTGAAAAAGCCCGATTGGCACCTGGATATTTTGACTGCCAGATCAACATAGCATTGATTTTATCAGGCGGCCTCTCTGACGCTGATTGACTGGTTAAGGTGGAATAGTAGTTCACCTTGGGTTATATAGGATGGTTGCATTACTTCAGAAGTGCAATTCGATAACCCGAAAAGTCAACATTCTATGAAAAGTCATTTTTACAGAACAACTACCCCTTGGATCCTATCCCTCATGCTGAGCTAGGAAATAAAATGAGAGTTCATGAAGACGTAGCAATAGAAAGACCCCTTGGTCGTTCCTAGTGTAACAATAAACGAACTCTTACCTCTGTGTTCCCAGATGAGGAAGGTGGCAGGCACAAAGCAGAGAGAGGCTGTTGATAGAAAAAAAGAGAAGGTGGGATTCTTTGCTTTCCTCCCTGTAATCACACAAATTATAAGAGCTGTATCATGTACAATGTCAACAGAATGGATGTGTTGGGTAGGAAAATTAGAACTTGGGAAACAACAGCCATCTCGCTCCCTTAGCTGGAAAGCCCCTCTCACCCGGACTGTCCAATGGGTCAAGATGAGTCCAGTGCCCCATCACTTACACAGACCTCTAAGACTTTTCCGGAAGCACAGGACTGAGGTACCTCGGCTCCACTTTTATAAGAGACTATTCTGCAAACACAGCAAGCACCTCAGCTGTCCTAGCTGGGAACCTACTTGGCAAAACCTTTTTTGGCAATCTCTTTGCACAATTTCACTGACTGTGGCTGTGAATGGATATAATTAGAAATATTTTTTGACACCTATAAATAATTTGACGGAGGATGATCTAGGCTTCTTGATAGGCATTTGATAGGGGATGGGGATTCAGGGCTTCTGCGGCTGCTTCTCCAGCTTAGCTGTTGCATCTTTCATCACAGAATTCAAGCCAGGTTCCCACTTACTCTCTTGCCTATAAAATTGGTCACCCTGGCCCGAGGCATTTGGGACTAATTGATTTGTTAGCTCTTGGAGCCTTTAAGGAGTCTGTTTGGGATGACTTTTAGATCTTGGAATACTACGGTAGGAAGCGGTGAATGGGCCAGAGTCTGGAAGAAAATTCCTAGCTGGGATCGTGCTTTTTAAAAGACTGACGAGCGATCATCCCCCCACCTCCCCAATCTGAAAATCTGAACATGAACGGGAACATGAACTCCCGGATTAACAGTGGCGATAGACTAGTGGAGGTAGTCAGAGGGATTTTGAATAGATATAAACATCTCTGTTCCATTTCTGGAGAACTTGCCATGGACATGTCTGGCTTGTATGTTTCACATACAAGGGGCCATCGGAGCGGAGTGAATCTCACTGCATACTGGAAGGAGACACAATCGTGCATTCCTAGTGCGGGGGGCAGATCTGTATGGCCAGCAGTAGCTCTAATGAGGTGGGTACTGCATATTTCTACGTAAGGTGGAAGAAACACAGGGTATCCCAATGTTCCCTCTGGGTTGGGTGCCCATCGCATACCTGGGATGCTCATAATTTGGATTTGAGTGTTTTTGCCACACACACAGCTGTTTCTGAGTCGGACAGGAAATCTACCTACGCTCATGTGCATCTCTAAGACCTGCTGGGATATTTTCAGCCATCATCTGCTCGTTTAAATGACCGGTTAATGAGGTCACTGCTTTTACGCATGCTACTGACTTAGAGTTTCTCTTTGACACACGAACAGATTGAATCTTTTATCACTTGTTTATTTCTTTTGGTGTAATACTATGGCATCAACTGTCTTTTTTGTTCTTTTATTTTCGGTGGATGTTACTCACAGAAGTATAGGTCCGCATCCAACAGGTTGGGCTCTCAGCCAGAGTGATGAAACATCTCCTGGTTTTTCTCTTTGAAGGGTTGTTTTTTTTAAAATAACTCATTTACTTTTTCACTTCGTCGTGTCTGTGCTTTAGAGAGAATCGACATTGTTAGACACGTGCACTCCTTTTGGAGCTGAAGGATGAAAGGCGGACTGGAAAAAGAAGACTATACGGATGAGCCCACGATACGGACACTAAGTCACGGAGCGGTAGTGACCTCTAGCTCATGAGGACTAGAAGTGGGCACCTTGACTCATGACGCATAGACTGACTGGAAAGCCCTGAGGTCCCAGCGGAGATCGGCCTCACGTGTCAGGAGTGAGTAAGAACATCTTGCCGAGTGTGAACAGGAGAAGTCCTGCTGAATGAAAGACGAGAGGCTTCCCATGGGCTTGCTGGTCTAAGAGCTGTCTAATTAAGAAAGAGTGGGAAGTGACTAACAAGTCTTCTTTATTGATGCGGTTCTCGGTAATGAGATATGGGTTGGAGCAGTTGCTTGCCTTCAGAATGTGAAGAGTTATTTTGGATGCTGTATTTCAACAGGGTGGAGAACACCTTCTCTCTTTAGTATTACCCGTCCTTCCCCCAACCGTTCTCCCCAAGCTAAAGGCATCTGTGATTTTGAGCGTCTTCATCCATCACAAGAATAAAGCCGATGGAAGCTTCACGTTCCCTTCACCTTAAGGATCTGTCCTCATTGAGATGATATATAATTATTACACATTATTATGTGCAATATAGTGTCATGTGTATGAGATTGCATTAGATTTATATAAAAACAAATCAAAACCAAGTTCGCTACCATTGAG